AGCCTCCTTTCGTACCTACCATTAGAGGAAGAGAAGATGTTAGTAATTTTGATGATGAATTTACCTCTGAAGCACCTATCCTCACTCCACCTCGGGAACCAAGGATACTTTCAGAAGAAGAGCAGGAAATGTTCAGAGATTTTGATTACATTGCTGATTGGTGTTAACTTCCACACACTGTGAAGCCCCAGCTGACTGGCTCACAAGAATGCCTCTCTCTGAAGAATACTGACCCTTCAATTGCTTTCTGTGCCACCTGCAGCTTCTGGGTTTTTTTAAATCACATGAAGATCCTTTTAAGTACTGTTTTTACACTCTTTTGAAGAGTGGCCTCTTTGTATATTGTTTTTTATCTGAGCACTGGAAAGCAGGTCTATGGCGTTCCTAAGCTGAGTTGCTGAACCCAGGCTGTGTTGAACTTCCCGCACATGGGCGCACGTGGATCTGTACAGTTTCTCTCACTCTTCCACAGCAGATAATACCGCTTTTAAAGTATCTGCCTTAAGTGGGAAAAGCAGACTTTGAGCTAGGTAATCTCCACTCAGCCACACTGAAGTAAGTTGGGATACCGGTGACACTCACACAGAACCTGGTTCTAGTTGGAGAAGGCAAATGATTTCAGCTAAATATTGTGCAGTCTTTAAAACTACACATTTTTACGTACACCTTCATCTTGTGTTCTTAAAATAATGGTATTGAGAACAGATATGCCTTGTTTTGTAAATTTTCTACGGTATTTATTAGGAAAAATGTTAAACACCTTGCCTTTGAGATAACAACTGTGTAAGTGCTTCCATTACAAAGAAAAACCCAGAAAAATCCGGAGAGTTTACCAAAGTCACTTGCCAAACAGTTTTGCCTTCAAGCTCCTTGAGCATGGCTTAAGGCCCTGGTTGGGATGAGGAATGTAAGGAGGACGCTGCTCAGTGTAACCCCAGAGCGGAGCATCCGCAAGGCCCAGGCCCAGCCCCTTCCGTACTCGCCTCGAGCCTTTCCCGCACCCCGAGGGGGCAGAGAAGGTCCCAGTGTGTATCCAACCCCCTCCATCCTCCTCTGTCTGCTGTACAGTATCATATCACTTAGGCAAAGTAAGCGTTTTCAATGTATACATGCTGTGAACATGTATATTTGGAAGTTGTAATGTATTCTTACCTCCAGGCAAGTAATTTAATTGTACCACTTCACCGATGTTGCGGAGTGGCCAAGTGAACAAAAAAATGTATCCACGTAGGCCACTGAGCTCCAGCCCCTGGATTGGCAGTTACTGAGGGTAAAAAGCAATATGTTGTAATAGAATGTATAAATATTTTTGATAAAAACAGTGTATATTTTATAAACCCCTTAACACTAAAAGCTGTACCTCAAAAGTTGAAAAGTAATTTAGACCAGACACTGTGTGTATTTGTAAACCAAGACCTATTTTTGGCATCTGCTGTTCTGTGGGCAAACATTGACTCTTGGAAAATAAATTTCCCACCTGGTCCTTACCTCTAGCACTATTCAGCACTGTAACCTCACAGGTTCATCCTGGCCAGGAGTTTGCTGTTCATGGACTAAGGCAGTGGGCATCGCACTCAAATTCAAAACTGGTGATTTTATTAATTCAAAGAAGAAACACAAACCACTGGAGTATGCAATGCTAAGGTGGTGGTTTAAAAATCAAGATGCTGGACAGACCTGCAGGGTTAGGCAGGGGAGAGGCTTAAGGGATATAAAAATAAAATAATCGTTGCTAGGTCTAAATCAGGCCAGTCCCCCACAGGAATGGGGCAGGCACCTTCCCCAATGCTACAAATCACGTTGGAAAAAGTGAGTCAACTCCTCAGCATTCCTTGTTTCCAGGTTCTATATTGACTAGAAACAAATTATGTTCCTCTATCTAGCTGAAACCAATACTTTTGAGGTACAGTCAGCTCGCCCTTTTTGGTTCCCAAATATATATATACACAAGCATCTCACAGGGTGCTTAATACTTACGAAAGTATCCTCAAACATACCTTTTTGTAACTACATCTTGTACAGAAATCTTTTTTTAATCTAAGCAAATCACTAAAAAAAAAAAAATTAGAAAAAATTAGAGGGCAGGGTATGTTCACCCAGTTAAGCTGAAAAAAGCACTAATTTTATCTCTGTAGTTTTTTAAATATTTTTAGGCAGATTAAGATTTAAACCCTAGATTGTAAATATATTTTGCTATACTTTATCTGTATGTGGCTGCTCAAGCACTTTGTAAGGAAATTAGGATATTTTAGAATGGTACACTATGCATTAAATGAAATGTGCCTTTAACAAATGTCATTCTAAGTGTTTTGCAGTCATTAATATCACAAATTAAAGGTCTAAATAGAGTAATTTGTAAATTGTGTCGCAAACATGATTTTGCTGTTTCTTGAAGTGGCTGGTCATGTCTTCCCCACAGGTAACTTCAGAAAAGACTGTCAGGAGGGGACCCACTGTCTTGGTGGCAGCTCAGTAGGCTTCCATTTTTTACTTTTTTTTTAAAAAGAACATTACAAACTGCCTCCGAGCAGTCTCAGGCTTGGAGCAGTCCAGACAGCTGGAGCCTGGTCTGCTTGGCTCAGCATCCTCCCTCCCAGGCTTCCCCTGAGGGCACGGAGGAGACAACTCAGGCCTGCTCCTGGCTACTGCTTCATTAGAGTCTCTTTCCTACCCACCATTCCTCAGCAAGCTGTGTAACCAAACCACAGTCTGTACCTACCTACCCCTCACTGAGCTTGTTCTTTAGACAGTCTAGAGGATGAAGCTTTCTTCTGAGTGCATTTAGAACAGAACTCTTTACTTTTAAGAGCCACATGGAATTTTATGCGGCCATTTTGCCCAGAGGCGGACACTTCACTTCATACCCGACTAAACAGTCGTTCCAGAAAGGGCTGGCTCCAGCGTTTCAAGGAGCTAATCTGAACTGCTGTTGAATTAACGCTTGAAGATGTTCCCCACACACTTGTGCGTGGGGAATGCAACCCTTGCTCATCCTGCCTTCGCCGGGCTGGCTGCTGAGCCGCCCCCTCAGAGCCGCGCCCAGGCTGAGGGCAGCCGGTGCCTCCGCGGGCCCCGCCCCTGGGCCTGGCTGACACAGGCAGGCGGGCGCTACCACAGTCTGAGCTAGGCCGTACTTCTTCCTGCTGTGCTTCACATTAACTAGTGAACTGCAGCCAGTAGTAAGAGGCCCTCGGAATACACCTGCCCCGTCAAGCAGAGTCCTAGTTCTGCCTCTTTGTGCTGCACAGTTACTCCCACACCCTGGGAGATACAGGAACTGCCGATGGAACTGCAGGGTCACGGCAGGACTGCACTTCCCTGCCTCCATCTGCCTCCAAAGCTCCTTCAAAGCTTTGCACAGATTTATTTAAATTCCTGTCCAGGCAATCTTTGCTGTGTGCAACAATTTCAACTGCAAACACTGAGCCGTCACATGTCAAGTGCCTGTGGCTAATGCCCAAAAGGATTTAAGAGGAGCATTTTGGGCAATGTACATTACAGTCACTTTTAACCTTCATGGAGCAGATTTAATCCACAGATCTATGCTGGAAAGCAACACTCACAGTAAAAGTAATTTCCACCTTTGCATTCCCAAGGTGTAGCAATGCATTAATGGTCAGGCCCAGCCCATTCACAGCATCCCACCTTCACTCACAGAGGATGCAAGCAGAATAGCTCAGACCAAGACCAGGAACGCCCAGATAATAGAAAGTGTTGCAACAAAGTCAAAGCAATACATCAGACAATGAACATGTGCCCTGCCAACAACCCAGCATACTCTCTAACACCTGCACCTGAATTTTTCATGGCTGCAACCAACAGCTCCTGAGGTGTAAGAGAACTACAACCTACAGAAAAAAAATCTTCAGTTTCCACATTTCCAGTAACTACTGGCAGAAGAGGATTAAAGCTCAACTAGCAAACTAACAGTGAGGGCTACTAATTGCTGTTAGCACTGGACACAGCCTTCCCTCTGGCAGGCTTAGACCAGATGTGCAGCAAGCTGACCCCTCAGCTGTTATTTGTGTAGTTAAACTGCATTTGCACCTGTGATACAAAATCTCAAGAACCACAAGATTCCCAGTTAAGCACATTTGTTGCTTTGTACACAAAGGGATCCTTGTCAGGAGGCCACCAGTGTTCAAAGCTCTTAGTCTGGGCACGGCTGAACAACCTCAGGCCTCCACTCAGCACCTGGCATATCACTTCAAGCAGCAAGTGCTCACTTAGAACACAACCACAGGCCAGCCAGACTGCAGGCTGGGCTGGAGGTCAGAAATTTAACAAACCTATACTATAAATACTTTTTACTTTTCTTTGTACAGTACTAAGCATCATGAAGTTACCAGGAATTCAACTGAAGTGAGTCCTCATGCTTCTCAGTAGCTGCTTTGTCATTACCTCAAATTCATAGCAGAGACAGTGAGAATCAGGGAGACTGTGCCAAGGTGGGATTAATCCTTTTGCAACCAGTCTGGAAATATTCAGCAGCTGTACAAAACTTGGAACAGCTTTTCAGCAACTGTTTACATTCTGGGTGCAAGCACCCACACCTACAGCTCCCTACAACTACCAGAGCACTTCAGAAATCAGAAATTGTCTGTAAAGTGAGCATTTAAGCAGCCTTGTGACCAAGCCCACAAGTATGAAGCTCACTCCACCATTCCATGGACTGCATTCCAGTTCTCAGCATGTACAACAGTACGTGCATGTCACATTGCAGTCATACCACAAGATGGTGTTTTTGGAAAACAGTTTATTTGGGAATTACACAATATTTTAAATTCTCCAAAATACATCTTACTAGATCCCTACAAAAGAAATCTAAGTACAACAGTATCAAATTAAATTTGTTGCAACAGATATTAAATATTTACTTCCACTAATATATACATACAAAATGCCACACAATCAGCTTGTTCACCCTTGGAATGTATGCTGCCTTCCAGCAGTTTGCTCCATCTCCATATCCTCCAGTTCCACAACACGAAGACCCAATATTAACACTTTGTACATCCTTTATTATAGGCAAAAATAAAGAGTTTGTTTTTGTTGGGTTTTTTTGGTTTTTTTTGGGGGGGGCGGGGTTAACAGAAATTAACCCTCTGCAATCTCACAGCTGTGGTAGTTTGTCTACTGGAGTATCAAACTTGAAGTCTGCTGGGAAAAGATCGGGAGCTCGAGGATAGATCAGCCTGTATGACTGTCTAATCGTAACATCAGCCACACCAGCAATATCACCAATTTCTACAACAAAAAGCAGAGAAGTGGTTAGTTTTATTTTTGCCATTTGTAATCAAGAAACCAGCAAGCATAACTTATCAAGAGGCACTGGACACTTGCTTCATTTGCAACTCCCCCAAAAGCCTGTTACAAATGGTTTTAACTGTGGTGACTAATATTTTGGATACGTAAGTCTGTCTTATGTGCCACAGTTTAGCTTAACCTATAAATTGTGGAATAACAAACTTTAAATTGGAAGAGGGCTAAGAGTGTCAAAGTAATTAGAAACATCTACTACATATGACCACCAATATTTTAACAAATCATCATCAACTTCTGGATCTTCATTTTTATGCTTTGATTAAATATAAGCAAAAACAAGCAAAAAACTGAGTCACAGACAAAAACTGATACCTTCAGTTAAGCATGAAATACATTTATCTTAAAATGCACCAAGAAATATGGCAGAAGCACACACCACTGTCTAACAAGCTGAGGGAACACTTGTTTGAGATGCACAGAAACTTAAATTTATTCAGGAGTTAGTCAAGTCAGGAATTTAAGCCTTGAACTGCATGAAAAGCTTCAGCACTGTCCAAAAACACTGGAGCAGTGTGGAGTTGTGGTGTCCATGGCAAGCAGCTGTATTTTAATTATCACTCTTAAGAGATGCAATCCAGTAGCTCACAACCAGCAAGGATGAAGGTACTGAACTTCCTGGGCCCCAGATCACTCACAGGCCCAGGAAAGTGCCAACAGGATGGAAACTCCAGGGACACAAGCAGTTAAAAATGCAGAACAAAACACCACAACCTGACAGATAAAAGCTATTCTTTATCCAAAAGGAATGCTCCATTAAGAAATTGCTACATTTTCAACATTTCTGGACTGGACAACTCAGCGGAGCACTTGAATCCATTTCTCACATCAAGTTCTACCCCCTGCAGCCTTAGCAAATTTCTTTCCTCAGTGATCACTGCCCTGTAGCCTCATTCCCTTGAGCCCCAGGGGCTGATCTATGCTACTCTGCGGCTCAAGAGCCCTGAACTCCTTACTGGCTCCCCAAGGCTACCCTACCAGCAGGGAATCTGCCCCAGCTGGTCCACAGCAAACCTTGCCTTCCCACACTTTCCATCTTTACCACAGGCTCACAGTAAGGACCATGTACTAATGCAGGCAATTCACTGGCTGCAGGAATGATTAAGGAGTCAACGTACTCCAAAGCCCAAGTGCTTCCTGCAACTGCCACCAAGTTCCTGTTTGGAATACTTTAGAGCAGAAAAATGGAAACAAAAATATTAGCATAGGTGAACTTAAATTATTATGCTCATTTGAATGCACTGGTCCATTGCATTCAAGAATCCAACTCCTAATACCAGAAGAAAATGAACTCAGTTTACACTGAGTATAGCCAATTACTCCATGTTCATTCTGGGGACTAGGAGATCCTGGTTTGGTCCTTGCTGCATGCAGTTAGAATGGAGCTTATCACTGTTTGCACAGGCCTCATCCAAGTTTTACAGCAATACTGAAGTTTCTTTCAGGAAGGAAGACATGGCAAACTAAAAACAAACCAAAAAAGACCAAAAAAAGTCAAGTTTTACCTTTTTGTGTCCTTTTCTCTGAAGAGGCCTGTGATGCCATGTAAATAGCTGCAGCTGCTACAGAGATAGGGCTTCTCCCAGGAACCAAATCTAATTCCACAGCTTTACGGGCAATATGTGTTGCTGCCATTTGTACTTGTTTGGGAAGACCCAGATTAGAACAGAATCGTGACATGAAGTCTCCAGTTGTAATCAAATCAACACTGGTTTCCAGAGCTTTCAAAATAAGTTTAAAACACCGGCCTATTTCTTTCTTTGAAATCCTGGACACTGCACATATTTCTGAAAAAAAGAGTATAAATTAAATCCTAGGCTTCACAGCATTTGTTGCCCCGAAAATAATCAAACTTGATTCTCAATATATTAAGATCCACAAAGAAGGCCAATGTCCTGAAGGCCACCATCACTAAATAAGCTCTGACCATTTGTGAAACTTCAGTCAGTGCACATATATCACAAGGCACTAACTAATACACCTCACTTAGTAAGGAAATTTGGTACTGAATGCTAGAGAATTGCATCTCTGTTAGGGAAAAGTTGCACAGATTTACTACAGAACTGCTAGTTAAAATTCAGTTAAATGATTTACAACAATCTCCACGATCTTCTGATCAAAGCAATGCTTTTTAAGTTTCACCAACACTCAAAATAATTTTCAAATGCTAAAACCCCCATGCCCTAGAGCCTACTCCACAAACATAAATTCCCACAGACCCTTCTACCCCTTCCCTCAAAGGTGAGCTACAGCTGAGAACAACCAATTTGACAAAGTTCAGGAATAAGAAAACCAACCTCCTACAGTGACAGTAACTAAACCTTTCCTTCATAGCAAAATTGAGTCTGTATCACTGAAAGCTTACCTTTAAATGTTCTTGGAACACCCTCTTGCCTACAGGCTATGTAGAGACAAGCAGAAGCAATAGCATCATTACTTCTCCCCTTCAGGCTCTTTTGCTCATACACTTGCTTGAATAAATTATTTGTTCGATCCTTCAATGCAAGAAGATGAAATTTAATTAACTCTAGGCCATTTAATTAGCAGCAATATCAAAAATTCATGTGCTCATTATATTATGCTAACTAAGTCAATGCCAGAACAATTTAAGGAAGGGAGACATGAACTTACAACTATATTTCTAGGGAGGTTGATTCTGTCTGCCATGTTCGTAATTTCTTTGAAAGCATTCATCATTGCACGATCAGAGCTGCTCATAGTTCTGCGATTTTGGTACTTTGAATTCCCAAATTCATCAAAACTTGCTGCACCTGTGCCCTGAAAAGAAAAATTTGTATCATCAATAATACAAGCAACTAAGCCACTTCCTGCTCACTTCAAGAGCAAACATCTTCCAGCTTTATACATTTTAATTCAAGGCATCAGTTCCAACAGTTGTGCAAATAAACATCACTGAAAGTAACTCAATCGAGCACTGCTCCACACAAGTTCTATACCAGTCTCAAATTGTGAATTGCTTCCCAGAGACCTCAGATCTTTTTCTATGGAGTGAAAGTAGACAAGGATTTTACCTTGCTGATGAGAGCCCTCTTCAAGAGCCATGCCCAGTATTCAACTCACAACTATAAAAAGGGTGGAAAACTCTTCCACCTCAATTGCTTACATAAACCACAGAAATTGTCCCTGCATTTGTCATTTAAATGTACCATCTACTTTCCTTCTAGAGCTTTGAGGGATAATGCTTTATTGATTTCAGCCCTTGACAACCATGTTAGGAGTTCCTTTCCCTTCATGGAAAAAGACAGAAGCCACACAGTTTTAACTGAAATGAAGTTGACTTTATGAATCATGTGGTTTACTGTTGTGGCCTGTTTGGCTTTCAAACACAACAGAAACCTCCTGGATACAATCCTGGAAACACCCTTCAAGGTAACTAAAGTGAAAAAATGCAGTAAAGTAAACAGTGACAATCTCTGAAGGGGCTCAGTGGAGGTTTACAATGCTGGCATTCAACACCTTTGTACCTCAGTATTTCACCACAGCAGCAGCAAGTATGATCAGTATCACCCACATCACTGATTTGTGGTTAACCACAGCACCAAGGCATGCCCCCCGATCCAGCAGTCTTCTTACCCAGTACAACTAGCTCACATGGATCAGTCTGATGGATCCATTCTCCTTTTTCAATCATCAGCCCCTGATACCTTCTGTTTATCAATATAGCACTTCCAGATCCAGGCCATGCAGTTTAACAAAAGCCAGCTTTCTTTCAGAGATCGGATCAAAGGATAGGAATTCTATGCCAAGAGATTGCATTGGATCTTTGTTCAACCAATACAAATTCTCTTGGAGTTGCAGTTACTACAAAAAAAGGAATCAATTAACTAGCAAAGGTAACAAAAGACACTTTCCACAAGACAGAAAACAAAACTTACAGTTTCTTTTAGATTCCTAGAAGAGAGCTCCCTGTATCAAAGCAAAACTAAAAAATGCTTGTTGAGTTATTTTTCTTTAATTTTATTTTAGAATTTTAAAAATAAATATAACATTCTGGCAATGAAGTCACAATTAACGTGACACTTCACCATGTCTCCAACTGATCTGCATTGTAATCAGATCAATTGCAGCATACAGTATCTTATTTCAGAGTTACAGCTCTGTGCCAGTATCCTGAAGACCTGCCTGTGGAATTCAAACTACTTCCAGCACTGCCAACTATGCTATTCACCCTCCTCTTTACAGGCAAATTAATTGTTCCAATGCAGGCTGCTGCTGCTGCCTCAGACAGATGGGTTCCTTACACATTAAGGCCAATTAGGAATTAATCCCTTTGCACAGGCAGAGCAGCTAACACATACAGATCACACATCCCTGCAGGAAGGGGCCCCAGAGCAGCACCTCCTGCCTTCCCAGAGGAAAGAGAGACAAACTACTTTGTGAAGCAGAACTGACCCTCTTCCTCTACTGTTACAAAGCAATACTGTTGTAACTGGTTGAGACTCCATTTCCAACTCCGTTCCCAGGAGTCTACAACAGATCTAACATGACATGCCATGAGAATTATCCATGTCCTTCTCTGTTGGATTTCCCACAACACAGGTGGGTGTTTTAGGGGTTTTTCTGGTGGGGGTGTTTTTGCAAGGATGGAGAAGGTCAGCTGTAAAGATTTTATTATCTGCAGTCCTATGTCAAGCATAGCCCTGGTCCTGTCCCATATGAAAGCCACCTCTGGCACACAAATATGGGGTCCATTCCAGGCCATAATAAAACTTGCTGTTAACTGGGAAAATAATAATCTTACCTTGTTTCATTCTCTGGAACTCACAAAGGTTGTTCTGTACTCTGTCAGATACTACTTACCCTCTTCAAGACTACACCAATTTCACCCTTGCTCAACCACTGTGTCTATCTAGTGTTCAACCACATCCCAACCTACTGCTAGCAGGGACTTCAGATGACTGCTTGAGAAATGTACTACTTCCTTGCTGCAAAATTCATGCCCTTTCTGCACTGACAGATGTCTTCAGCATCTTCTCATTAAAGCCATTCACTTCCTTCCAAACAACTGAAAAAAAAGCAGGCCCTGATACAGAGCTCACATCAAGGAACTGACATCGCAGAGCTCCTGCTTACTAGCAAGACAAACACAGGAACTCTTGTGCAGAAAACATCCTGGGGTTTGTCAAAGGGACTCTCAATTTCCCACAGAAAGTAATGCACCTTTTCCGCAATTCCTCCCCGTGCAAATAAAGTATCCACAGTTGGACCAACTGCCCCCTCTACAATCCCAAACACAATCCTGGCAGCTCCAGCACTTTTTATTCAGTTCTCATAGGTTAAATCATGCCACACTGAAACTCTCGTCTTTATGGAATGGCACTCTGCTACAGCAAGTTTGCTCCAGCCTATTCTGGGATGTTCTGCTTCACAGAAAAACTTTCATTAGTTCAATGTCCAGCTCTGAAAGTTACTAGTTTTCATGGGCAAACAAACTTTTCATCAAAGTACCTGTGTGTCTTTAATTCTCTCACTAAGGTTGCTATCCCTCTTTATTCCAAATTAGGAACTGAATGTCCAGAGGGAAGGGGGTTAGCAGCACAAGTCACTGATCACCTGGACACAAAACCTGTCTTTAGCCGAAATGTCTTTTGTCTTTTCCAATGCGCAGGTTCTAAAGGAGCTCAGGTCATCCTACTGACTGAATCAAACTGACTGGGCATTTCCTCAAAGAGAAGGCTTCTTTTTCACTAATGGTGAAAATTAGCTGCCCATCAGTATTCTCTTGTTGACTTTCTCACTTTTAAGAATTCTTGGACGAAAAGTATGCTGCACACTGTCCTATACATACATATTTAGGCACTTCATCCTAGCAATATCACTGGGACAAAAGCTTCTGAGAAAACACAAAGCAGCAAAACATTCTTAGTCAGCAACTGCACCCCTTTTCATGAAACACACAAAAAATTAATTTGGATCTTGCAGTAAAATATGAAGAAGAAAGTACAACAATTAAAACTTACCTGGGTCACTGCTTCATTAAAGGGAATGCACTTGTGTGGCTAGTCCTGCTTGCTCTCAGGACAAACAGCAGGATAGGATTGCACCATAAAATTTCAGCCCAAGGATAGATTGAATACTTTCCTTTGAGGCACTCACACCATGAAAGAATTCTACATTTAATGTTTTAACATTAATTGAAAGAACATGTAAATTGTGATCTCCAGGTCTCCAATATGAATCTAATACAGATTTTACAACCAAAAAACAGCAGCACTATCTATTGAGATCTCAACATTAATTTCAGAACCACCTCAAATACACTTGCTAAGTCAAAGTATGCTTCTTTTAAAATTGCAAAATCAGCTTTCCTATTTATAGCAACATATCTAAGCGTAGCAAGTAACCCCATAGCACTGCAAACTTTTTGGTTTTTTGCAAAGGTTGGCCCTTTCCTTCTATCCCCAGGAAAGGCCCACATTTTACACACTGTTGAAAGATGCAACTTCAGTTCAGGTGAAAATCTCTTCAAAAATACATATGTTGTATCGTTTCTCTATGGACGTACCATCTGGTACTTGAAATAAAAAGACTCAGTAAAATTCAGTATTTCCAGTGTTACCTTGCCAATCATTGTACTCAAGTCGCCATCACTGAGCAAAGGATTCTGGGTATCCCCGACTCGAGATGGGTCTTTGGTTGCTTTGTCATTGCTGAACGTTCTCCACTCCGACCCCACGTCTATGACCCGGTCACCTGAGAACGCAAGGCAACAGTCTACATTGACACAATGCTTTAAAATATTGCATGAAACATTGAGTCTGGCATCTGAGCTCTGCGCTCTAAGGAGGCAGTCTGCCGGCATTCCCAAACACAACAGTAACTGGCAGGACAACAAACCAGAACATTCAGGATCTACAATGGAAAAAAAAATGCAACCAGAGCTGCACAGAAGACATAAATAACTAAAGAAATGCATCCAGAAACCAGGAACTGTCACCTTTATGGATTATCCATTAAGAACATCATGGCATTTCCAATACACAAAAGGAATCAAGATCTCAATTTCAAGCTGAAGTCAGGACTGCCTGTGGATTGTTCTCAATGACTCAGTTGCTGTAACTTAACAAGTTCTATCACACTTGCCATGTGTTAATAGTGTACATATGCATTACCCATCATGCACAATCCCATCAAGCCATAGTAAATTACTTCTCTTGAATCATTTCCAGGTCCTTTGTACTCCCAATTTTGTACCTTCTAACTCACCATTGATGACATTTTGCAGTTCAGTTTTTGTTCTTGAAGACAGTTGTGACCCTGCCCAACTTCATGATGCTTGACAGTATCAACATAAAGTATATATATATTCAACTACTTTTTCTTAAACACAAACAACCCTGTTGTAACTGGAAGATTTTCAGTACAGATTCAGAATAAAAAGGAAAAGCACCACATCTTCTGATTGAAACAACTTTCCTTGCAGTCCTCTCCATTTCACATTCACCTAAACCTTTCCTACAGCAACTTACCAGTTTGAGAAATAATTCTCACCAACATTTTGATACAGGCAAAAGCCCTACAGTCTTGGAGGAGGGAAGGGGGGGAAAGAAACACAAAAGAAAACACAAACCCCAGCCCCAAACCCAGCACAGTTCATTGTATTCAAAGAGCTGATAAAAGCTGCATCACAAAGGTGTTGCCTCCAGAGCAATACTACAGAATTTTTAAGAACACATGTAAGAAAGAACACAAAAAGGACATTTTTCTTGGTGTTCTGCAGTAAAGCAGAATACGCTCAGAAGAAACTTCAGAATAATTGGCACCCTTAGCTAAACCTGAGGAAAAATTCATCACCTTTATCAATGTTTAAGTTTGTTGTGAGAGAAATGTCTGCAAAAAAATGTAGCACTGACTGCACAGTTTACAGTATGAAAGTCTTAGAATGAAATCAGAGGCCGATTTAACCTGGTGAACACAGAAAAAAGCAGTCTGCCAACAATACAAGATCTGAAGCTGGAGAAAATGCAGAAAAGTGCGGACAGAGTGATGCAACTGCAGAATTCCCCAAGGGATACAAGAGAGCTCTATTCTGACAGAATAACTCAATTTTTAACATAAAATTATGCAAGGAGGATGCCTGGAATTGAAAGCTGTGAATGAACCAAAAGAAACTGCTACCAAAAAAAAAAAAAAAAAAAAAAAAACAAAAACTTTAGGATAAAGGTGTAAAAAAAAAAAAAAAAAAAAAAAACCAAACCAAAAACTTTAGGATAAAGGTGCTCTCATCAATATCATCAGACCTGTTCATAACTACGGATCCACCTTTATTTACTGCTCTAATAAAAACCAAGAGGAAGAAGAAAAAAAACAACCATGAAAAGCTACAGGGTTAAGGATAGAACCAATCTGTGCTGCCTTTTACTCTTTCTGCTACAAAGGTCAACCCCCACACCCTTGGCAAGCTTGAATTTGCAGACAGTGTGCTCCTCTGACTCCTGGACTCTCTGTAAATATTTGATTCAGTAATGCTCCTTCTATGGCCTAGCAGTAACTTTACTTTTAGACAAACCCCCAATACTGTTTACAGCATCTAAAAAAAGAAAAATGTACTTAAAATTCTGGCATGGTATAAATAGAACACTGAGTACAGAGCAATGATGTAATATTTTTCCACACAAGTGGGAATGACCTAAATGACTCACTCAGGGATCTGCCTCTTGTGAGTTATGAACCATTCCTGCTCTAACAAAAAAGTTCTACATCACTGCCTGCTTTGATAAACACATCACAAACGGAAGACTGAGACTACTATGTCAGAGTAAGAAAAGATTAAGTAGAACAAATCACTGAATATAAAGTATTTGTGTAATTAAGATGCAGTATGCAAATATCTTCGTTTTGCCAAGAAACCTGCTACAGAAAAGCAGTTTTTCTGTGTACTGTCAGTGTCACAGAAAATATACAGAAATCCTGGGCAGCACATTCCATCTTTCAAAAGGCTTCTATAAAAGTGTGACAGAAGCTAGAAGTACTAATGAAAATGGAACAAATAAGCCCACAGGTTTCCATAGATGGAAAACATATTCAGCCACAAGCAAGATTAGCTGGATTATCCCGTTCAACAAGAAACTAAAACAAGAAACAAAATGCAGCATTTATTATCTTTAATTCTTCAATACAGAAAAAACACTTTGGAACTGTGCTATTGGTACAGATGCTACTAAGCCTCACTCTAAGTGGTCAAAGCAAAACTTTAAAATACTACACTTAGTCTTACAAAAGGCCGTGTAAGAAAGCCTTGAAAATGGGTCCTGAGTAAAGATTTCAAATTTTAAACTGAATTTTCTAGGTCATACCCTGCTGACTGGCTTTCCCAAGCTGCAATATGGGTCCAACAGTCCAACATGAGAGTAAAAAAGCTTCCAATAAGTACACTATACAGCTGTCTCTGCTTTCTCACATTCTTGTATTGGTTTGGACAACCCTCTAAAACTGCAGTAAGGATGGGAGTGGCCACATATTCCTTGGTTACTTCCTTTTCATAGAGTCCTTTTGAACAAAAGGGCTTCACTACATACAGTCATATTAGATACTCCTTAATTTGATTTTCCTCTAACAGATGAGTTCACTTTCTCAGTTTCCTCCTCTGAAATGCATTTCACAAGGATTTGGTCCTGTAAACTGTTGTTTTTGCATGTATCTCCAGGCTGATATCCCAAAGTACTTTCTGAACAGATTAATTTTTCTCCATTGCTCCATTTCTTTTCATAAACTACTCTTCCAGTATTCAGCGTCTCTTTAAAATACAGTCTAACACACAGAGTCCAGTGCAAACACACACTGCCAGCTTCCCTGGCTGGTAACCAAATTCAGGTTACTCATCATCTGAAAAGCTCATTTAATAAAATGCACAAGTGCTACTCAGAACAGAAAACCTCAGGCCAAGGTTACTTTTCTTCACAAGTGACACATGCAAAGAGCATGTGTTACAGAAATGCAAGACCAAACTCAGGTCAGACTCAAAAATTATTTTAAAATAGACTTTTGAGCAGTTTTTGAAACTTAGTTTAAAATAGCTACACATCAAAATTTACAGTAACTCATAACACATATGTATTTTCTTCTCCTTCTGCACTTTGCACTATCTGTTATAAGAAGACAAGATAGCTTAATACTGAATATGTCTAACCAAAACAAGAAATATGATGGCATTCATGAGCAATGTAATCTTCCATATCCAGTCGTGAAACACTTCATGTTCTTAAGTTCTTTTCAGAGGAGCTCTAATGTTAGCTGTACATTGCATTGAGTTCTGCATATTGTTAACTAATACTTTAAATTTAGCATAAATACAGTATTAAAAGCTGATTTGCGCTCTGCAGACCCGAAATACCTACTGTTAGTAGAGAATGATTTCTCACCGTTAGTTAAGGAATCTGCTGCCATCTAGTGAGCACATATATTATACTTTTAATTAAAAGCATTTTACAATGCCAAATTTCAATATAAATGTGTGTATATATACATAGGATTACACTTAAGTTTCAGTCAGCTCCTTATTAAGCAGAGTAATGAGGTGCTGTGACAAACTACAGTGAAAAAACTAAGGAGGAGGCTGCAAGCTGGAGGGAATGAAGAAGACATGAAATTGCACAGAGCCAGGCTGAACAGAGTCGGGTCAAGCTTCAGGTCTCAAGACTCTCCTAACTCCTAAATCACTTTTGCAACCTTCTTCTGGACTTGCTCCAGCAAGTCTCTCTTCCTGGTACAGAGAAGCCCAGAGCTAGACACAGTACTCCAGGTGTATCTACTCCACATTCTATTTATTAGCTTATATACTGCCCCATATGGTAGCACACAACCTTTTTTTCCATTTTTCAGCCTTATACCTTCTATTAAGGACCAGATGTATTAAATGTTACCACAGAATAAACTCATGGAGAGGGGAAAAAATAAATGAACACAATTTTACAGTCACCACGTTTTCTACAAAATTTCCAGCCCTCAGTAAGACATTAGTGTTCTTTGTAAAAGTTATCTTGTTTTCAATGAATTGTCACCACCACCAATTTATCATCACAACCAGCAACACCAGTCTATTCACAAGACAGTTAAAATAACTAAAGCAGGCTTTCAGTTGGCTAAACAAAACATAAAACCCCCACAAGCAAAGAAACAAAAAAGCCACCGATGATTTTAACTAGTTGCCAGACATCAACAGCATCACACCAGTACCAAAAGGCAACTATGGATTGAAACAGACAGTACAGCACCTCAGGCAAATGACTGCTACAAGAACAAAGGCTTAGCAGTTCCTGCATATGAATATGATGACAAATCTAAAAGGACTTAGAGGCTTCCTAAGCCATCAGCTTGCATAATGATTTTGGAAGAAGCAAATGAGAGCAGAAATGTTAAATGATCAGATGGACAAGTCTGGTCAACTGAAGTTACACCTCCCCAGGACTTGAGGCCTTTAAAAGATTAACGACTCAAATACTTGTGAAGGATGCTCCAAACTACAGAATCTCAATTAAAAACGCTGTGCCCTATCTACCCTACATCACAGTACTTGAGACTCTTTTTCCATCAGAGGAGTTCAGACTGTTTCCAGCCCTTGTTTGCCTAATTACCTTGTCAGCCTGGTAAAGAAGCAAGAACCACTCCCTAAATAGGCTGATTCAAAATGATGCTGTTACATACTAGAAAATCACCTAATGGAACCATTAGTGGCCCTCAAATGCCTCAGGTCG